TCAAATCGACCACATCGCCATCAGCCACCGCTGGAGAGAATCCATTGAAGACTGCTGCTCCTACTGGTCAACACCCGTAGACACGGACCATGCTCTGCTACGAGCGAGATTCTCCCTAGGCCTGATAAACAACCGCCGCCGAAAACGGATGTCCACAATACACTATCACCGACATTTGCAAATCGACCTTCGAAGCGGAACTATCAGATCGTCTCTCAACTCAACCGTCAGCCGGAGTACTCAGTGAACACTGGTCGGCAATCAAGGAAGCGATCCAAATATCGATAAAAACAACGGCGAACTCAGGCGCACGATCAAAGCAAAAACGATGGATCTCCTCAACCTCGGTTGCCTTGATGAACGCTCGCAAAGCAATTCCCTCGGATACAAGATACGACAAAGCGCGCAAATCCCTTAAACGCCAGCTTATCAAGAGTTTGAAAAATGACCGCGAGAAGTGGTGAGTAGGAAAGTGTAGAGAGATGGAGAAGGCAGTGGCTATTGGTAATAGTCGCAATCTTTTTCGTCTAATTAGGAGTACAGGACCAAGGAAAGCAGGCGTGAATGAGGTAATTACGGATTTTGATGGTCCTCCATCCGAAATGGAGGTTACCCGCGAAATAAATTACCTCAAACGGCATAAGGCTTCCGGCCCCGACGGGCAGTGTTCATTTGTTTTCAAGAATGGAGGCTCAGCCTTGGTTTTGGAGTTAACAAAACTCCTGGGCTCAGTGTGGGAAAACGAACAGGTTCCAACTAAATGGTGTGAATCGGTGATCATACCGATTTACACGAAGGGCGACAGACCTCTTGTAAAAATCATAGAATTAGTTTAATCAATATTGCCTCTAAACTTCTCTCTGGTATCATACTCCGTCGGTTGTCTGTCGCTCGTAAAGAGTGCACACGTGAGAACCAGGCTGGTTTTAGACCTAGTCGAGGTTGTATCGACCACATCTTCACTCTTCGTCAAATCCTAGAACACGGACACTCTTTTCGTAGACCCGCCATCTCTTCTTGGATCTGAAAGCGGCTTTCGACTCAATCGACCTCTCTAAACTTTGACGCTGCCTTTCACTGAAGGGTGTGCCCGAGAAGTTTATTTCAGTATTACAATCCCTCTACAATAATAGTGGAAGCCGAGTTCGAGCTTACGGGCACTTTTCATCCGAGTTTACCACGGAAAGTGGTGTTCGACAGGGTTGCCCTCTCTCTCCTTTTCTACTTAACTTTGTCATAGATTTAATTCTTGAAACAGCCCTATCCTCGTGCGAGAATAGCGGTATCGGTTTACTCCCGAGTGGAAGACTGTCTGATCTAGAGTATGCAAACAACACTGTGCTACTAAGTGAAGACCCAAGTAAGTTGCAAGCTAACTGGGTTACTGCATTGAGCATGTCACCTCGATTGGTGATGAAACGTTTGCAACACAATTGCCAAGCTCGGCGAACAACTGAACATCATATTATACCACCCGAGCTACAAAAACAACAATCAACATCGTTGTTTATNTATATATATATATATATATATATGCCATTTTCACCGGGAACTTCCCTTAAAACACCTGAGGAACTCGTACCTACTGTAAATACATTGTGAGATCAGTGGGGTTCACTTCAGTGGGTTTTGCTGTACGATGTTGACGACGTGACCCAAGAGAGTGGATAACATAAACAAAATGGAAAAATGTGACCACTTATGCACTTGATACTTGACTAAAATCAAGTGATAGGGCATAAAAAGGCCATCCTTGTTTCTCCAGCAGTACCGTCTTCATTGATTTGGTCATATCCTCTGCCGGCCAGAGTTTGAGCTTTCAAGGAAAAGACTTCCTGATACCTTGTCCGAATTGGAAATATTGCCTCGGGGTCAGCCGAGTACGGGTGATACTACAGTCGAATAGGACGTAGATAGCGGCCATCGGAGACATTCAAGATTCCACCTATTTTCAAGCTAGATAGCCGCATAAAGGCAAAAAATAATAGCAACCAGCGGGTGTATTGTTTTTGCATAGTTGAAAAATTCAGAACTCGTTGTGTGCTGTATTTGTGGAAGGTAACAGTGATACAATGTTACACCACGGAGTAAACGAAATGAGAGATCGCATGTGAAAAAGTTTCGTAGCAAGTGGCAAACGTGTTTTCAAAGTATCAATTACCTTGTCGTTAGTAGAAAATATAGAGTACAGCCGAGGGAAGCAGGTAGCATCTTCCTGTGTAACCAGTGCGCATGGGCTCTGGAGTCGTTTAATTTGGTGCACCATCATGTAGCACCGCTTTTGATCCAAATCGTTAGCAATCAACAGACCGCTAGGCTCCTCGTACACAGCCTCCGTGTTGTCTGTTGTTATGTTGCGTTCCGCATCTGCATGCAACATTTCAACAAGCTGAGCTGNAGCTGATTTAGACCCTGGTGCAGCACACAAGTCCAGTACTGTATGATGACCTTTGATGTCCAACAGGAGTGGTGGCAACATACTCACAGCCTCCTGGCGACTAATTTTTCCTAATTCAGATAAGAAAGAAAGCAAGGGCGAAAACAGAAGTTATTTGGTAGTTGATTAGTAAAATGGTCCCGAGCAATTTTGTCCACAAAAATGAGGTGAAATGTTAATATAATTGTTGACATAGACCGGAAAGTGGAGAAAGAGATGAGTTGTTCGGTACTTTCTCGAAGTAGAATCGTTATGAGGTGACTAACCGGTAAAGTTTACCAGTTACCAATTAGGCCGCATTCTACCAACTCCGTGGTAAAGAAAAAAGTTTAATATTAGTAAATTTCAAATGCGTCAGAGTGCGGACTATGCTGAACCAATCACGGTGCAATAATCCCTATAATGAAGAAAAATTCCATAAAAAAGTGAGTTTAGCCCTACTACTGCAACTACTGCAGGGTAATGACGATTGTGATCACCATCAGAAGATTACGGTGATGATTCACTTGAAGCACAGTTTACAGGTTTAAACCACCGAAATTCACATTGGACGTCGGTTGATAACCTGGTACGATTTTCAAAAACGTCATTTACTAAGTTATTCCTTCTACGAAACGGTAACTGTGGAAAGCGGAGTGTGGTACTAACTGCAGATTAGCTTCAGTAATCTGGTAGGATGAAACTGTTCGATGCCGTACTATTCCACCAACTGAGGAACCCTGCCTAACTCCATATCTGCAGGTACTAGTCCGTTATCCGCCGGTTACTGTCTCTGCTTTGTCGTTAAAATTCCTCCTTGTCCAGGGGAGTTGCTCTGCCCATAAATTTTGGTAGTTCATGCCATGTTACCTTTATCAGATTTCTGACATTAAATATCAAATTTCAATCTTCTAATCAATCTATTAACCAGAATTAGCTGTTGATTGCTTCTCGTACTTGGGTAGCTATGACCAACGACGGCAGCAAATCAAAGGAAATAGCCGCATGCATTCCCAAGGCTCGAGCGACGTACGCGGGACTGAAAAACGTTGTTTCACTAAAGTTGAAAAACCCCGCAACTGTACGAGCAGTTCTATTTTACGTTTGAGACCTTAAATTTGCGGCTAGACACCCGCTGCCTAACGCTTTCCGGCAATCGATGCTTACACAGACTGATCGGGGTGGGATGGATTTAGCAGGTTAGTAACTTAGATGTAAGTCGTCGGGTGTTTGGTAATGCATCGAACAATAACTTGCTGCCACAGTGAGTTCAGCTCCATAGGATCCGAAGGTTAGGACACGTTTTACGTATGTCTAACGATCGCCTATCGCACCACGCCTTCTTTGCAGCGGTCGCTCCAGGCTGGAGATGGCCACGTGGAGGCCAGCAAATGACGTGGAGACGAGGCACAAAAAAACGCACCCAGCGATTAGGTAGAGTATGTGTCTCTCGTCTCTCGGTTTGGGGTTAAAGATTCCATAACTCGATGATTGGTGTCAATGAAGGTCACTGGAGAACACCGATAGCAGTGGCGGTCTTGCTGACGTTTCTTGTCAGATCAGGATGCTTGAAACGGTATGTATGCACTGTTTGACCGTGTACCATGCGTGCTGACCACGAAGGTTCGTTTCTCCCTTCCTCCCTCCCCCCACCCCCACCCCCGGAAAAAAGGTCGAATCCTTAT